CATATTTATGTTTAATTCATTAAAAATAAATAATTGAATTTTGAATCACGTAATCTTTACGGTTTTTAGATCTTATAAATATCTCGTAATTTTGTGGTCGCTTGAAAACTATAAATGTAAAATGGAACGGAACGCCGTAAAGTGGCACCGACAACGACGTGATAGACGTGATAATGCTGGACGAATTTAATCCAAAATAAAACTTTAGTATTGTTTTTGGTGGAGATGAGGTGGAGAAAAGAAGAACTGGCAGACAGATTCGAATCAATAAGAAACGTTTCAAATTTCGCTGAGCGTAGACGACACTCGGGCAGAATAAATAGCGTGAAATATCTCAAATGGTTGAAGATGGCAAAGGGTTGGGTGAACTTTAAACTGGTTTTCATACTGAGGAAATATTTTCCCCTCAAGGTGTTCTCGGAACATAATAAACCGTGAAGCTATGCAGATATAACGACAGGAAATCATGCGGTAGTTTTCGCCGGAGGGGGTTGATTATCGTTTTCTTTCTTGTTTTCTTTCTTTCTTTCTTTCTTTTTTGTTTTCTTTCTTTCTTTCTTCTTGCTTGCTTGCAGTGTTTTTTTGTTTCTTCATTTTTCAGTCTTTGTTGATTTGGTTTTTCTTTCCTTTCTTCTTTCTTTCTTTCTTTCTTTCTTTCATTGTATCTCACTTTTTGCTTTTTTACTGCTTCCCTTTCTCCTTTCTTGCTTTCTTTCTTTCTTTCTTTCTTTTTTCATTATTGAAATCATTTTTAAACTTTTTTTTTTAAATTTCCCTTTTCAAAATTCTTTTTGGATTTTCTTTCTTTTTTTTTTCATTGAGATCTTATTTTTTTAAAAAACTGAAAAAACTCCTTTTATTTTATTTTTATTCTTTTTTTTTTTAATATTCTTTCTTTTCATTGTATCTCATTTTTTTTTTTATCTTCCCTTTTATGTTTCTTTGCTTTAAATTTAACAAGTTTTCATTGTATTCAATTTTTTTTTTTTTTACTACAAAATTTCCCTTTTTTTTTGTTTTCTTTTTCAATTTTTTTTTCATTGTTTTTCTTTTTGCTTCTTTTTAAAATGTTCTTCTTTCTTTTTGATTTTTCTCTCTTTTTTCCAAAACTTTTTCATTTCATTGTATCTCACTTTTTTGCTTTGTTTTTAAGGGCTTCCCTTTAATTTCCTTTCTTTCTTTTGTTTTATTCTTTCATTGTATCTCACTTTTTTGCTTTTTTACTTGCTTCCCTTTTAATTTCTTGCTTTCTTTTTTTTCTTTTAAAATTTCATTGTATATCTTAAATTTTGCTTCTTTTTTGCTTCTCTTTTCTTCAGTTTTTCTTTTTTCAATTTTTTTTTTTAAATTTTCAAATTTCATTGTATCTCATCTTTTTTGACGCTTACTTTTCTTCTTCTTTTTTTTCTTTTGTCTTTTTTTTTTTTTTCTTTAAACATTTTTCATTGTATTATTGTATCTCAAAAAATTTATTTTTTTAATTCTTTTCCAAATTTGAATAGTTTTTCAAAAAAAAATTTTTTTTTTTTTTTAATTGTGTTCATTGTATTCATCACTTTTTGCTTTTTTTCTTTTCCCTTTCTTTTTTCTTTTTTTTTTTTTTTGCTTGTTTTTCTTTCTTTCTTTTGTTTTTAAATTTTTATTTATAATATCTAGCTTTATTTATTTCCCTTTTCTATCCTTCCTTTTATTCCTTCCTTTCCTTTCTTTTATTCATTCTTATTTAAATTGCTTTATTTCTTTTCGTTATTTCATGTCTTTTTTTTTTATTTTCTTTTTTTTCCTTTTTCTTTAAAAATTTCCTTTTTCTTTTTTTTTCATTTTTTCTTTGTTTGTTTTATTTTCTTTGTTTTTTCTTTTTTTTTCTTTCTTTCTTTCTTTCTTTAATTCTTTCTTCCTTGCTTTATGTCTTTCCTGCTTCCTTTTTTCTTTCTTTTTTCTTTTCTTTCTTTCTTTCTTTCTTTCTTTCTTTCTTGCTTTATTGTCTCTCTGTAAAAATTCTTTCTTTTTTTTTTTGTTTTTTGTTATTTTCTTTTTTTTTTTTTTTAAGGCTGTTTTTTTTCTTTTTTTTTTTTTTTTTTTTTTTTTTCTTTATTATTTTTTCTTTCATTCTTTTTTACTTTCTTTATTTCTTTCCTGATTTTCTTTCTTTCTTTTTCGTTCTTTCTTTTATCCTTTCAAACTTTAAAAAATTTCTTTACTGGAAAACTTACAAAATTTTTTTTTCTTTCTTTTTCTTTCTTTCGTTCATTCTTTCTTACTTGCTTTATTTCTTTCCTGGTTTCCTTTCTTTCATTTATTCTTTCCTGCTTGCTTTGTTTCTTAACTGCTTTCTTTTTTGTTATTTTCTTTCTTTCTTTCTTTTTCTTTCTTTCTTTCTTTCTTTCTTTCTTTCTTTCTTTTATTTTTATTTTTTTTTTGGTTCTTTTCTATCTTTGTTTTTCCTTTTTTCTTAGTTTTCTTTTCTTTCTTTTTTCTTTTTCTTTCATTTTTTTTCTTT